ATAAAAGCGTTATTACAAGACCTCAATAACTCAAAGTCTAAGAATATCATTCCAGCAAACAATATCTCATGAACAAAGATCTTATTAAAACACAATAATATTAAACAAAAAAAATAAATAAATAAAGAGCATAAAAAAGTAAAATAAAAAGTATGAAAAACGTATACTTTAAAAGACTGATAAAAAAATATATATACAAGTTTTAAATTATAATGTCCAGCTCTATTGATGCCAAACTAGTTTAATCTTAATATTCTTCGACGCAACATTATGCTTTAACGTTAATCTCATGAAATCCATAAACATACGTTTTCTTGCTTCGTGCCACCAACCTATTTTACTAGCAATACTGTCTTTAGGATTGTTAATAAATTATTATAGTAATAAAATAAATCAACCTTTTGAAAATAAATTACCAATTTTCAATAGATTCATAAAATTATATTGGCTAAAAATTGAAACATCTAAACATACCTCTCATCTAACTTCCGAATTACCTCGCCGATTACCGAATTACTTTAGTATGTTGTAGAGCTGAAGAAGCATAGGTCAAGTTTGATTTGATTGGTTAAAAGGAAGATCATTATTTATATGGATCTATATATTATAATAATATATACTTATATTTAGTTTTTTACTAAAAAAAAATCTTAGCTTTGTATATCTTATTTTGTCATTATTGAAAAAAACATCCAGTTACATCCGGTAGGTGAAGAATCTAAATGAGAGAACAAGTTTCGAAGGTTTAGCCTTTATATTACCGTAATAACATAGTTTATTGAGTTTCTACCCGTCTATAATTTTACTACTATGATATATACTAGTAATTACCTTTTGACAGTGAGTTTATTAAAAGGTTATTCATTTATTATTAGGTAAACTCAAGTGATTTAAGACAAGCACGAGTTTTATTTTAAGTCAAGAGCAAAACGAATATGTTGTTTAATAAGGGTTTATTAATACTCAATATCCATATGGGCGGATTTTGTGGTTTTGGTGATGTTTATGAATTGGATCAACCAATCAGATAAGTAAAAATGGTGATGATTGCGAATGTGTCATACATTAAATTAACGTTTATTGGTTGCACAATATAGAAAGTATTGTTCGCTTTTACAAAGTCCCAGGCTTTATCTCTTAATTTTGTGACTTAAATTTTCATATTTATATTCAACAAGACCTAAAATACAAAGAACCACAAATAGTTTTTCAAGAACCAAAAATAGTCATAACTTTTACTAGTGCATAGTGACAATGCCAAAGATTTTCTTGATCATAATTTTTTATTGGCTAATCTATTTTTAGATATCACGAAGATCACATGCAAATTAAGGTGACATATTCGAATTGTAAAAATCCGCCCATATGCACTTAATGTTCTCCTTGGTTTTTTGTACATCTTTATTTTTGTGTATTGTTTTTTCATCATTTTAATAAAATGATAAAGTTCATTTTCAGAACATAAAATGAACCGATATCTTGAATTTACCAACATGTTAAAAGCTTTATCAGAAAATCCTCCCCAAGTTGATTGTACCATTTTACGGTACTGCATCTATCCATATTACTAATCGACAATTAAATTAATTTTGATACCAACTATAATCTTCCTATAAATCTCTCAACATCCTCACTTTAATAAAAGATATTTATATCTACCAATCTAAATCGGTTTAATCTACCAAATAGATCCGTATTGCCGTCTGTCAAAGGAACAAATCTCATCAATAGATCTACTCGTGAATGTCGAGCCTATTCTTAGTCAAATTATCCAATGCTTTACTATGATCAGCCTATAAAATAAATCAAGTACTTTATAGTATTTCTATATAATAAAATTATCGATATTGTTTCATAAGCTGAGATAGTAACTCATCGAGTAAAACCCTTATTGCACATAGTGATGCCTGACGAAACCATGTGATGCTAATTGTCACGTGGTACAATATATAAAAATCAACAATCTATTTAGTTTTTTTTATAAGTAATGGCATGTGACAATTAGCATCACATGGTTTCGTCAGGCATCACTAATTGCACACTTCACAAGCAATAACCATAATTTTTTTTTTTTAACAAACGTCAAGAAAAATAAATACAGTATTATGAATATATGAGTAACGGAAAGGGAAAACCTGTAAATCATGCTTTTTGAATAATGACTTTAATATCAATATCTTAAATGAATACTTAAAATTTCAAATATTACTCGAATCATCTCATTAAGATAATTCAAATAATTATTGTTATCCGGCAAACTCTTATGATCATAAATAAATTTCTGCACGTTATTTTTTTTCATGTGATACGATGTAATCGTGTTTATTCAAATTAAAACTCAGTCAACTATTCCCTACCAATCATGATCATAAATTGCCGGATAACACCATTATTGGGCAAATTTGCGAATACGGTAATTTAGCAAATGATTGGCTGCACGTGCCGTTTTGTGGCACGTGTTCATTTGCAAAATTACCGTTATAATGTATACTTAAGTTACTTTATTTTTATTAAAAGTAAATATTCAAACAGCATCATATACAGGTTTTCCCTTTCCGTCACTCATATTATGCTTCATCATATCAACTAATAATCCGTGAATCCACATTAATGACACCAGCGTAACTTCATCAATATAATATTCAACATGCAGTAATATACCAGATATACTGCGAGAACGTTTATTCGATCATAATTTCTGACCTTTTTTTTTTAAAAAAAAAAAACCTAGAATATTTATAGTTGTTATCGTTACACGTATAACATGTTGACCAAAACAGATAAGTTGTTTTTTAAAAAAAAAGTCGCGTGTAAAACTGAAGCTAATAAGAACCGCGTCATTATTACTTAAATGGACATTTATATTTATGTATATCAAAATATGTGATTATCAACAAATCAAATTAGTTGATCAA